ATATAACTCTTTCAAATAAATAAATAAATCCCTAAAAATATTAAGTTAAAACATCAATGTTCTAGAAATTTCTAGAACCCCTATATTTTGGCAACAATTCCTATGGCTTTATTTATCAGAGTCATTAAATGAAAGAAATAATTCTTTGGCTATTTCACCTGCCAAAATCTATACTATCAATAAAACGCAGAGATAGCCTCTTTGGTGACTAAAAATATTGTTTTGTCTTTTGTCACCAATCTTTTGGATTTGATTTTTGGATGGAATGAGTGCTACTCATACAACTGCTTTTATTCCATATTTGGGTATTCAAGAGTTCCAGCTCCTTTTTCCAACATCTGCAGTTTCCCATCATAAAGTGAGTTTCCGTACACACACAAGTTTGTTTATGTATTATTATTCTGGTATTCTATTTTGTTTTCTATCCTTATACCAATGTAACTTAAGCATATACTCATAGTTTTGTTGTATGGTGGGAAAATTCTTCATAATTCATCAACAGTTAAGACTTTTCAGGTATTATATCAACTCTATATACCATGAGGAAAGAGTTGACATCTTATTGACTTTGCAATCCATGAATATAGGATATCTTTCAACAGATTTTTCAAAATTTGTTGTGTCCATTTTTGTCCATTTTTATTAATTCCTCAAAGACTTCAACCTCCAAATTTATCATAAATGCTACTTTAAGTATTTTTATTTCATTTTCTATTACTAGTTGGTATATTGAAAAATTTTAAAAAAAATTTATTTATTTGAAAGGCAGAGTTACAAAGAGGCAGAGGCAGAGAGAGAGAGAGAGACAGGTTATCCATCTGCTGGTTCACTCCCCAGTTGGCCATGACGGCTGGAACTGGGTTGATCCAAAGCCAGGAGCCAGGAGCTTCTTGTGGGTCTCTCACACGGGTGCAGTGGCCCAAGGACATGGCCCATGTTCTACGGCTTTCCCAGGCCATAGCAGGGAGCTGGATCAGTAATGGAGCAGACACGACAGGAACTGGTGCCTATATGGGATACCTGCACTGCAGGCAAAAGTTTAACCTGCCATGCCATGACACCAGCCCTTTGACTGAATTTTATATGCTGGTTTTCTATTTAACAAATGTCCAATTTTTTTGTTAATTGAAAAATTTTATCTGTAAATTTGTTTGGATTTTATGTGTACTAAATTTTCTGCTTTTAGTAATTGTACTTGTTATTTTTACTCCTTGTATTTCCTATTCTTTTCTAGACTTACTGTGTTAGCATTAACCTCCAGCACTGAATGTGTGTGATGATAGGAACTCTTATGTTGTTCCTGCTTTCAAAGAAAATGCTTTTACAAGATGTAGTGGGTTGAAGAGTGGTCCCCAAAAGTTGTGGTCCAGTTCTAACCTGGCTACATGTGTGATCTTATTGAAAAATAGAGTCTTTGCAAATATAATTAAAATTCTCGGCCGGCGCCGCGGCTCACTAGGCTAATCCTCCGCCTAGCGGCGCCGGCACACCGGGTTCTAGTCCCGGTCGGGGCGCCGGATTCTGTCCCGGTTGCCCCTCTTCCAGGCCAGCCCTCTGCTGTGGCCAGGGAGTGCAGTGGAGGATGGCCCAGGTGCTTGGGCCCTGCACCCCATGGGAGACCAGGAAAAGCACCTGGCTCCTGGCTCCTGCCATCGGATCAGCGCGGTGCGCCGGCCGCAGCGCGCCGGCTGCGGCGGCCATTGGAGGGTGAACCAACGGCAAAAGAAGACCTTTCTCTCTGTCTCTCTCTCTCACTGTCCACTCTGCCTGTCAAAAAAAAAAAAAAAAAAAAATTCTTGAGGTGAGGTCACCTTCAACTTAGGATGGTGCCTTAGTCCAAAGACAAGTGTCTTTTTTAAGAGACAGATGAGGAGAAAACAAAGACACACAGAGGGGAAGACTATATGATAACACAGGCAGAGACTGGAATGATATACCCACAAGCCAAGGAATTCCAAGAATTACCAGCGGCTACCAGATCTTGGAAAAGAGGCATGGAATGGATTTTCTCTCAGAGCCTCTGGAAGGAACCAACATGTTGGACAATTTGATCTCAGACTTCTGTCTCCAGAACTATGAGAGCATAAATTTCTGTTGTTCTAAGTCACCAAGCTTGTAGTTACTTGCTGAGGTGGTCCTAGATTATAGAACAAAGGAGACTGGCTGAGTGAGCTAGGAACAAGGAAGGAATTCTTAAATTTGACAGAAAAAAACCCACAATTCTAAAAATACTGCCTGGGGCCCGAGCTGTGGCACAGCAGGTTAAGCCGTGGCTTGCAATGCTGGCATCCATAAGAGTGCTGGTTTGTGTTCCGGCTGCTCTGCTTCCAATCTAGCTTCCTGCTAATGCACCTAGGAAGGCAGCTAAAATGTTCCTGGGCCCCTGCCACTGATGTATAAGATCTATAAAAGGCTCCTGGCTCTTGACAATGGCCTGCCCGTTGCACGGGGAGTGAACCAGGGGATGGAATATCTCTCTGTCTCTCTCTCTCTCTGTGACTCCACCTTTCAAATAAATAAATAATGTTTTTAAAAATAATCTTGATGGGGCAGGCATTTGATATAGTGGTTAAGGTGTGGCTTGGGCTGCCCACATCCCATTTCAGAGTGCCTGGTTCCAGTCTCAGCTCTGTTCCCCATTCGTTTCCTGCTAATGTGCACCCTGGGAGAGAGCAGAGATCACTCCAGAATTTGGATATCTGTAACTCTTGTGGGAGACCTGGATTGAATTATCAACTCCCGGTTTGCCGTGGCCCAGCCCTGGCTGTTGTGGGCATCTGGAGAGTGAACCTGAGGATAGGAGAGCTCTGTTGCTTTTTCAAATATAATAAATACAAACAAATTTTAAAAAGAAACTGATAGACTCTCTACATTAAACTCACCATTTTCTCAGCACTAAAAGGTCCTGGAATGAGAGTATAAGACATGCCATGAAATAGGAGAAATACAGTATAAATACAATCAAGGGAGTGCTAGCTCCAAAGTCTATTTCTGTATCTCCACGAGGAAGTCAAACAGCTTATTAGGAAAATTAACTAAAAAAAAAAAAAGCAACTGTACAAGAAGGCAATATCAGTGCCTCACAATCATATGAAATGATGATCAACCTCCTTACTGAGAAAGGAAAATTAAAATATAATTAGTAATTATTTTGCACCCATGGTACTGGTAAAAATCTTAAAAGTTTGGTAATATCAAATGTCAGCAAGAATGTTAAGCAACTGTAAACCTCTACACTCCTGGAAAGCATAAAGTAGGATCATCAATTTGGAAAGTTGTTTGACATATTATAGTAAAGTTGTAAATGAATGGTACTCCATAGTCTAGTAATTCTGCTATAAACCAAATAGGGTCAAGGAACATGAATAAGGATTCACAGTGGCGCTGATGGGAATTGTCCAAAAATAGGTACAACTCAATGTCCACCTACAATGGAATAGTAAAATATAGTCATCTTATTCATATAATCAACCTGTAAAAACAAATGAACTTCCATTATGTACACCAGTAGGCAAATAACAACAATAATACATCTAGTATATTTCCATTTATATAAATTCACAACTGGCAAAATGAAAATATATTGTTTAGGGAAGTATATATAGATAGCAAAATTATAAAAAGCAAAGGAAAATATTATTGTAATCATCATGATAATGGTTGCTGCCAGCAAGGGAGGGGGTGTGATAGGGTGAGGCACAAGGGACACTTCTAAGGTACCAGCAATGTTCTACTTCTGAACTCCAGTGGTAGCATCAGAGAAAAACCAGAGTTGGCCAATAAAGCAATATAAACAGAGGTTATTCAAAACTATTACGAGAGGGGAAAAGAGACCTCAGTGTATACAGGGCTCAACTGCAGATACAAGATAATCAGGAGGAAATTTATAGCCACGGACCAGTGTAGAGGTTAGTAGATGGAAAATTACCAAGAGTAAACACCAGGGAAGAGAGATTCTGGTTAAGCAGACCTAACAGCATTCTTGCTAAACACACACCAGGGTAATCAATCATCACCTTGTGGATGGTAAAGGATGAGGAATCGGATTAGATATTGTGACTGACCAGATATGGAAGACAGAGGCTTTTTGTTAAACTGATTTAGCACAGTTCTTGCTAAAATTAGATTACAGAAGGCAGTGAACAGATAGGCTTAGCAGAAAGTTCAGGAGCCTGATGAATATTTGGTCAAGCACAGAACCTGTTAGCAGTTACATGGTTGATGATTATTTTTAAGCTGCTGATGTTTATATTCTTATGTATGTAAATTTCACAATTTACAAATGTATGAAAGATTGTTTAGCTAGAAGATGGATGTAAGAGAAATCAGGTGAGAGATTTGTAGGACATTATATATGGTTTAGTGTTAGGATTTCTAATTCTTTTTAATTCTTTTATGTGCATTCATTTATTCACCCATTTAATATTTATTATCCTTTCTAGCTGCAGGCACCCTAATGGACTCTACGTAGTGGGTCTAAAGGACTACCCAGTGGATTAGCATGATCTCTATGGTCAAGTTGCTTAAAATTGGATGGGGGAAAGGCAATGGAATGGGACAGGATGTAGTATGGTATGGTAAGTACAATGACACAAGCACACAGAAGGGGAGATTCCAAGGAGGTGTTGTGGATTCCTAAAATGAGTACTGAGAATGTCCAAAACTGATACAGGAGAAGGTCATGGCTTCCAGATCAATGGACAAGTGTGTAACAGGAGAGTAAGACACCAACGTTGACAGAACTGTGAGGGGACTGGTTTCGCTAGATCACAGGCTACACGTTAGGAAAGGGTGAAAGACTTGACTACAGACACAGGCAGAGGCCATGTTATGACAGGCCTTGGATGAAGTATTCAAAATAACCATGGCTTAAAGGAGACGGAGGTTTACTTCTTTGTCATTTAACCAAGTTTGTGCTTCTGTAAATCAAAAACCCAAAGCCTCCCTCTTCCTACTACTCCATAGTCCAAACACAGCTAATAATTAGCATAACATAGGTCTTTAAAATAAAGGTGGTTTTATTACAAAATACTAAAAATGTGCTTTTAGTGATAGTCATAGGAATACAGCATAATAGGTAGAAACGTATCTTCATGATCCAAATAATTACACGGCAGATTTTACATTGTCTGTGCAATTAATACTTAAAAACATTCTTCTTTTCAGTTAAGAAGTCTTCAGAGCACCATTACTTGAATGGAAGGTATTTTGCAAATCAGAGTTCATCTTTGGTCTGTAATCAAGAAGCAAAATTAGAGCCATCAAGTTGCACCTGAGTCAAGAAAACCTACATTTACTCAATATTTTTCTTTAAAATGAGAGGATGGAAAAAGTCAAATCCTTGCTTGCGGTTTTTAGCAAGGACGACTACCTGGAAGTGCTGGAACCACCAAAGGGTGAAATCACCTTATATCTCACAGGGCTACTGAGGGGAAGCAAGCACCCATGGGTCTGTATTACAGTAAAGGCTTTGTGTCATCCACAGTATCAATGAAAGGCTAGAGTAGATAAGGAGCAAGATATAAACAAAGATACCATTGTGTCCTTAACTTCTAGAAATCAATGGAAGATACTGATTTGGTACCTACTCTAAATCACTCAGATAATGATAAATATTAGGGACAGGCAGTGTGGTACAGTGTTTAAGCCACCACTTGGGATACTCACATTCCGTACTGAAGTGTCTGGATGGAGTCTGGACTTCTCTGCTTCTGATCAGCTTCCTGCCTGGGAGGCAGCAGATAACGGCCCAAGTACTTGGGTTTCTGCCACCCATGTTGGGGACCCAGATAGAGCTACTGCCTCCTGCCTTCTGCCTGGTCCAGCCCTGGCTATTGCGGGCATTTGTGGAGTGAATAAGTTGATGACAGATCTCTCTTTGTGCCACTCTACCTTTCAAATCAATAAATAAGTCTTAAGAAACAAACCAAAAAATTAAATAAGAATGGAGAAGGGAAGCGGCTCAGTCTCACTTGGAGCCAAGATGAGAAGTGTTCTCATACCAAATCACAAATGTGGCAAGGGGGGGAAATACCTTGTGATTTGGCAATTCCTGTTTTGTCATTGGCTGTTAACTGATTTTATGGCCTTCCAGCACCAACAGGGGTTAACACTGATGATCCACTACTTCGAGGGCCAACGAATTAGTGGTAAATCAGTTCTCAAGAAGCAACAGCCAAAATTAGTATGTGCTGATTGAAATGATGTAAATATGTCCAGTGGCTGAGTTCAAGCTACCAAAAACTTAACCAGTGTGGAAAATACCTTACTATGAACTCACATGAATTGGTTCTGTTACCTCATTGGAGCCAATGGTCACCTTAATCCTTTTAAACCTTCTTGGTAAGTACATATAATAGAAGCCAAATCTGTCATCTCATCTTTGGTTATAGTAACACAAATATGTGTTTTTCCATTCAAATACATGATGATGTTGCTTAAAATAATGTTGTCAGCATACTACTACACACACACACACACACACACACACACCACACATACACCCTAAGGTTCAATTTAAACACCTACAATTAGAACAATACTGCTTGGCCACTCAAGATTTTCCTATACAAACATACACACAGTGTGATAAGTTGCTATAATCTAGCTAGATTATTTTTAAGTAAATTGTTCTTTGGGCTCAGTTTTGTTAACAGTAAAATGAAGGCATTTACTGGACAACGTATGGTCCTTTTTCACCTTTTAAGTCCATAAGTGAGCCTGACTTTTAAAAATGCAACCATTATGCAGTGGTATCAAAATTTTGCTTTTAAGTGAATCACTGCATAACATGAGTAATCATCGGTATGTGTTGTTTTTTTTTTTTTTTCCTCTCTAAGTTGGGATGAAGAACTTCACCAAATCTTCCTACAGGAGGTGAAGCCTCAGTGATGAATGGAAAACATATTTCAGACTATGAGCATCTATTCAAAGGCCAGGCAATCTGAAGTCTCACCTTACAAAAGGCTTCCCTCCATCTGCCAGGGAGCCGCCATGTCTCTTCCCTGAACTGCACTGTAGTACCCTTTCTTGGGCCCTGTCACTTCCGTCTCTCCGACAGAATGCATTTCTTGGGGGCTTCAGGAGGGCGTCGAGTATTTGTTGTTTGACTGAACAACCCAGGGAATGAATGCACACGTGGATTCATACTAGTTCCTGTGCGGACACTGGGAAAGGCCAGTTCTGCTTACCCTGTGCCTATGGCATGTGCAAGGAAAGAGGTCGTCCTCGGTCTGTGGCTCCACCCTCTTCATGCCCTCTCGGATCTGGGGCTCACTCACGAGTAAGTTGGCATATTCCTGTGAGCAATAATACAGAAACATTCCTTGCACAAAACTTTTGGTACATTCACCAAAGTAGACATTCTGGAATTTCTGAGACCAAGATCTACTTAACTCATAGTAACACACTGTGATATGCAAAGTCCTCCATCCTCCCTTTATACATCTAGCTGAGCTTCTGAGAAGTGGCTGTCTTTTGAACACTGGCTGCCAGTTCAACAGATCTCTCCTTATTCTATCCTGAGTTTATATAATTTCTGGATTTTTTTAACAGCCCTGCCATATAGTGAAAATAATTTTGCACATATTCTTCCCTAGACTGAGAATCTGAGGACAGAGATTACTTCTGCTTTTCCTGCTACAGCTTAAACAAACCTCAGTGGGCATCTTCATTTATGGGCTGAGCATTCATAACCTGAAAACCCAAACCCAAAGCCTTTGAAATCTAAAACTTCTGCAGCATCAATATGGCAGCAAAAATTTTTGGATTTTGGAGCGTTTCAGATTTTGGATTTCAGATTTTTTCTTTGGATTAGCGATATTCGACCGGTAAAGTCTATGCAAATATTTCCAAATCCACAAAACTCTAAACTCTGAAACTCTTTTGGTCCTGTACATGTCTGATAAGGAATACTCAACCTGTATTATGTTCTTACTCTGGCTTAGGCATTGGGCCAAGTACTTACGCTATGTACTAGCTAAATTAATGTGTAAGTCTTTAGAAATTCAAATAGTAAATCCCCCCAGTTCATTCACTTTATACAGCTCATTCTCTGCATTCCTTCTTCATTTTCCAGGAAAGGTTACAGAATTGGGAGGGGCCAGTAGGAATCAGAAATACAACAAATTTGTTTTGTTAGCAAAGCCTAAGACATGGGATACAAAATCTGTAATTCTGAGATAAAAATCTTAATTAATCTAGGTTAGTGCTATTATTAGAAGATAATTTGTTTATTATTGCAGTTTTAAAAAGAGTCTTTTAAATAGTCAAATATGCTTTGATGATAGTCACTAATGTTTAGATCCATGAAATAATTTCTACGAGAAATCATGGCCCATCTGAGTCAGGACAAGAGCTCCCAATATGCCCTGCACTTTTTAGATGAAGAAATAATAAGGTAGCAACAATATAATACAAAGAGAAAACAGGAATCCAGGCACACTAACTCTGTAGGGTCAGAAAACAATTTCTGAATCATATACCATTAAGTTATAATATGAATACTTGTCATTTGATGTTCAAACATTTTCTATTAATCTTTGGTTTTCAATTATTTTGTATTACCACATAATATGAGGGGACATAAAGAAGTTCATGGAAACAAATGGAATTAAAGGTTGTTTGAAATTCATGAATATATATTTTTAATAATATGCATTTCCATGAACTTATTGCAGACCCATCATGTTTGTCTCTGATTTTCTGAGTTTTATTTATTTCTTTGGAAGACAGAGAGAAATGGGTGGAGAAGGATGTGGCGGAAGATGAGGAGAAAAGAGCTTGCCTATTCTGACATTTATCCAGAGAGGTACCTATATCTCCTTACATTAATTACTTTTAGAAACTGTTCAGTGAACTAGTATTTGTTCCTAATATACCAATGACAAGTTATTTGACCATTTTCATGAAAAACACTGACCTGGAAAAGTTTGAAATAATAACAGAATATGTCATCACCCATGAGATTATTTCTTGCAAATTCTTGTCCTGCTTTTGCTATCTTCTTTGCCTATGGGAACAACGATAATAAAAATCCTTTAATGGAACATATCTTTGACCATGCAGACAAAGGAAAGTTGAGCTGCTGAGTCTACATACAGTGAAACAATTGCAGGAAACATATTTTTGGAGGTAGTCTTACACAGTAAAAGCAACATTTAAGGGAGTATGTTTGTTCAAGCCAAAGGGAGAATTTTGACTTTCAAGTTTGAGAAGTTATATTGGACTTCCTAGAATTAAGTGTCTCGTGGACAGAGAAATCCTTTATCAAGAGATTTAGCAGGGACTTTGTAAATTAAATGCAAGATGAAGCTATATTACAGCACTGCTTTTGCAGTGTTCAGCAGAAAATTAGCTTGAAGCTTATTCATTTTAATGCTGCTGCCAGAATGGCTCTCTAAATCTCCACATTGCTACTAGAGGCTTAGAGACACCTTACCGAAGAGAAACCTTAATCAGGGTCAAGGCTTAGCTTTTGCTTCACACATGGAGAGGACAACCAATCCAAGCTGCGATGCCTGCTGTTTTCACCCCAAAGGAGCTGTGTTATCTATTGGCAGCAGCTTCCCTTTTCAGGTCAAAGTCTATCCCTCAGCACCCTGAACACTCTCCAGGCATAAGACATTTCCAGTGGACCCATGACATTGGGGTGCAAGTGGAATTAAGCCCCTAGGAGACTGGCCTTACCTCTTCATCATGATCTTTGGCCCACTGAAGTTTTTCAAGCAGATCACTCAGATTGCTTTTGACTGGAATGTAGTGTTTCCAGGGCTGCAATTCATTATAGAAGTGTTCATAGTAGATGGAGTCCTGCTTCAGCACAACACTGTCACCAACCAGCAGATACGGCAGGCGATAGGCTGCCACAGTGCCATCGATGTTTATCTGATACTTGTGCTGCAAAATAACAGCAGAGTACGCGAACTTCCATCAAATTCCCTTTTCCCACTTTTTTTTTCCCCTCCAACCCTTTCCATACATAAACCCTCACACTGTCAGCTACAAATTAGTGACATTTTGTCCTTTGTCTTCATTACTTAGTAAGTGGTTTATAATACATGCTTTTATAGAAATGCTTATTTGGATGTGCTCCTTAATTTCAGAAAGGGGGCAAAGAAAAATCTAAGATTGAAGTAGCCAACAAAACAATAAAACAGTTGTCTGAAGGTTATAATATGAGGCAAGATAGATCTATTTGTAATTTTGTAATTATTCTACCACTTTACTGACGGCATATGTGCACTTAACAATGATGGCACATGCAGTGTCATGTTAACTGTACTTCTTTTCAAGGTTTTATCTGGGGGCAGGTGTTTTGTGGCACACTAAGTTACGCCTCTGCTGGGGATGCCTATATTCCATATTGCAGTGGCTGGCTCAAGTCTTGGGTAGTCTATGCTTCCAACCTAGCTTCCTGCTAATGCACCTGGGAGGCAGTGAATGATGGCTCAGTACTTGAGCAGCTGCCACCACATGGGAGACCCAGAGGGGCTTCCTTTCTTCCAGCTTTGGCCTGGCTCAGCCTCAGCTGTTGAGGGCACTGGAGGCGTAAACCAGTGGATGGACGACCTCCCTCTCCTGCTGTCTCTCCCACTCTGTCGTTCTGCCTTTCAAAGAAATGATATATATCTGGATCTCTCATGTGGGTGGTAGGGACCCAGATACTTAAGCTATTACTTACTGTCCCCAGTGACGCACATTAGCAAGAAGCTGGAAGAGAAGAGGAGGCGGATTGAACCCAGGCATTCTAATATGGAAAGTGGACAACCCAAGTGGAGTTGGTCCCTCCCTCCAAAGCATGATTCACACATGCACTGGCAAAACAGAAATGGTTGGTCATTTCTCACCTTGAAGAAATCAAAGAATGAAATATGCTTCACGATGGGACCATACAGGCTTTCATCGTGTTTAAAGAAGAAGAAGTTGGTGAAGGCAGCATCGATGAGATCTGGGTGTTTTCTACTGAGTTTGACCAGCTCCAGCCTCTCTCTGCGGCTGTCTCGACCTCTCCAGACGGCGGTGGAGTTTTTACTTTCCCAGGGGGGACCTGTGTTTGCTTGCACAGACATCATATCCAAACTCACTCTAGAAAGGTAAGACAGTGCAAGAGAATTTCTTCCCAAATGGTCACATCACAAAGGTCATTGGAAAATAATTCACAAAAGAAAGAAAATCCAGGCTCTGGGTCACCCTGACCCATTTCTCACCGGCCCATGGTTTCCAGGACAGAGTCAGTCAAATCGTAGGTCGGCATCACAATATCCTTAGAATCCATGGAGCCACACCAGGAAAAGATCGGATGGATGTTTGAATTGGATTTCTGTTTTTCCAAAGGCCAGTCTCCCAAATTAACAAAAAACTCCACATCCGGCATCTTCACCTAGGAAGAAGAAAATAGTGTGTTCATATTTTTTACATCGGATAATTTTCACATTCATCAATTAAAATTAGAAATTGCACCAAATGAGGGGGCCAACCTTACAAGCTTCAGGCAGCAATAATTACCATGATTTGAATAATGGGTAACTTTGCAGATATGGTGATATTTATAAGCATTCCAGGTTTCCTTTCTATGGTATCCAAACTGGACAACAGCGTTTACCACAAAAGGGATGAGATGGCAAAGGTGATCTCTGTTCTCAGACTACCCAGAGACCCGATGATTAAAGAGGGAAAGAGAAACACTGGGAAGGAATTTTAAAAACCAGGTCAGCATAGTAACCTCTACACTGTTTCTTCTGATAAATAGTGCAGGCATGTTCAAAGAACCTGCTTCATTTAGCCTTGGTACATGCTCAGAGTGCTTGTAAAACAAGAGATGCACATATTTTCAGACAGACAAGGGCTTGCTGCTCAGTTTGAGAAATTGGGAGTCCTGAAGAATATTTTTAATTTTCATGGATTGACACAGATGAGCAAGAAAAATCTGCTAGTACTCTAATGTGTTAGCTCAAAGGAAGCTTAATATTGATGCTATGTAATCGTCACATTCAGAATTAAGTGACTACAAATGTTTTGCAATCTAGAAAAGAAAAACACTAAGGTTTTCCATGAGTAATTCAATCAACTACGCACAAAAATTAATAAAGAAATCCTATCACAGGCTATAAATAAATGTACAATTGGTAAAAATATGAGTGTGATTTTTCATATCAGCCATTTTTATATCACTGTCCACATTTTCTACTAGGATCCTACACACAGTATGTCAAGCATCAGAATTCAGTATCAGGTAAATTTTCTTTGGCATCAAATAGGGTGAGTAGGAAAGTAATTTTATTATATGGCATTTTCCTTCCTCTATATGGTATTGTTATGGGGTTGAATTGTGTCCCAGAAAAAGATATGCTTAAGTCCGAAACTCCAGTATCTCAGAGTGACCTTATTTGGAAATCACGTCCTTGAGGTGTTGTTAGCTAACAGATGTCAAACTGGAGGAAGGAGAGGAGAGACTCAGACATGCAGGGAGAAAGCCATGCGATATCACAGGCAGAGGCCAGAGTGACGCAGCTGCCAGCCAGGAGCACCACAGACCACGGCCGCCACCACAGACTAGGGGCTGGCAGGGAGGGATGTCAGCCAGGTCTCCGCGGGAGTGTGACCCTGCTGACATCTTGATTTTGACTTCTGGCTTCCAGAACTGTGTGGACACACACTGCTGTGGTTATGGCCCACCCAGTTCGTGGTGCCCAGTTCGTGGTGCTTTGTTGCACCAGTCTTTGGAAACTGATACAGGCATCCTACATTACTTAGGAATCATATTATGAAAGCATCTAGGACTAGAACAGCCATGATGTTTTTATTTTGAAAAATTACACTGTTAAACTCAGGCTGAAATTATCTATCGCATATAAGATAAAATACAGATTTACCTTTCTAGTTAGAGAAAGCAGTATGGCATCCATGAAAATTCTGAAACCTACATGTTCACCGTGAGTCTTGATGTAAACCTAAAAGAGAATTGAACACTTACTACGTTAGTCAAAAAGCACTGGCAGACTTCACGAAGGAAAAGCTTGTCACAATGATCCTTATTAGAATGAGCTTAATTAAAGTATTTGCTAATTGTAGCCAACCGGAAAAACAAATTCAGCAAAGCACTAAGACCAGGCCACTTCAATCTTCTGTTGTACCTTATTATCCTTTAAGGTGTAGTGACACAAGCTCTGCCTCTGACCGAATCTTTTTGGGATTTCTGCTGCAATCTTCTCTGGGTCTACAGCAGGAAAATGTGCCAGATCTTTCTGGATCTGAGGTATGGTTGCTGGGCAGTTCATCTCCCGTAGCCAGGCTGCACTGTCTTCCAGAGGACAGTCGCAGTTCTCATGGTAAACCGGTCCTATATATACAAACAAAAAAGTAAGAATTCTTACACAGTGAGAATTTCACTCAGAGGCTGGTGGTGTGCTACACTGAGTTAAACCGCCTGAAACACTGGCATCCCATTACGGGAGTGCTGGTTTGAGTCCTGGATGTTCCGCTTCTGATCCAGTTTCCTCCCAATGTGACTGGGAAGGCAGCAGAAGACCCAAGTATACCCACCATGTGGGAGATCTGGGTGGAGACCCATGCTCCTGGCGTTGGCCTGGTGTGGTCCAACCCTGGCTGTGGCTGCCACTGGAGGAGTGAACCAGTGAACTGGAGATCTCTGTCTTTCCCTCTGTTACTGTGCCTTTCAAATAAATATATAATTTTTTTTAAATTGTCACTCATCAGTTTATTAACAAATATTCATATGGCTTGTGAATTCTGCCTAGATAAGAAGGGTACTGTAGTTGAAAAAATATTTCAAAGGAAGTACCTTTTTTTACATTGGAGCATAGCAAGTAACTTGGCATTCTATTCTGATAATTCTTCACCCTTGTGTGATATTTCCATAATTAGGTGTATTTGTATGAGTTCAAAGAAAAGTCAATGGATACTAATTTATGCTCTACAGTGGATACTACAGCACATGATCTTAATGTTTTGTATACTTAAGAATAAACAAATATTGGTAGAAGAGTTTCAGAGAAATACACCTATTTTAATGAAAGACAAAAGGGATAGGATTATTATTTCAATGGCACATAATAAAAACATGTTCTCAAAATGTCTAAGGTACTTTTCTCAATGGTTAAATCATCATCAATAACAACAAAAGTAAGCACACAAAAATGAACTATTACTATGCTTTTTAAAAAAAGTATAAAACATTTACTTATCTATTTTGTGTGGGAGAGGGAGGAAGAGGAAGCATGAGCTCTGCCATCTGCTGGTTCACTCCTCAAATGCCTGCGATGGTTAGAGCTGGGTCAGGGCTGAAGCCTGGATCCTGGAATCCAATCCAAGTCTCCCTTGAGAGTGGCAGGAACCCAACCACTGAGCCATCACCTGCTGCCTCCTGGGGTCTGCATCAGCAGGAACCTGGAGTCAGGTGCCAGAGCTGGGTACTGAACCCAGGCACTCTGATATGGTACATGTGTGTCTTAACCAGTAGGCTAAACATCCTCCCCAGTATGTACCTTTTTGTACTTTATTTTCATTCATTTGAGAGAGAGATAGGTTATGGGAGAGAGAGAGAGAATCTTCCATCTGCTGGTTCATTCTCCAAAAGCCTGCAACAGCCAGGACTGGGTCAGGCTGAAGCCAGCTGCCAGGAACCATCACCTGCTGACTCCCAGCATGGACATTAGCAGGACCTGCCGTACAAGCACAGCAGGGACTCAAATCCAGCACTCCAGCTTTGAAACTGCACCACCAAACATCGGCCCTACACTATACATTTTTTTAAACAAATGATAAATAAGTAAAGGCTCAAAAGAGTCCATTTCCTTATTATTATAATGAATTAATTGAACATCTGTGTAGAAGCAATGCTAACATACTTAGCAGCTTTGAACTGGGATTTTCCTTGTCATTCCTTTCTGTAATTATTGGGATTCCCTTCTGACCCAGGCAGTAGGAGACAATGCAAGAATCTTTGTAAAGTTTAACAGATTATCTTGCATCATGTGCTCCTGGTGAAACGTGGAAAAGGAGTCCAGACACCTTTAAAACTTGCTACCTTTCTTTTCTTGGGGTGGGAGGAAGCACAATTCCTACTGTTGTAGGTAGACTGCATCCCACTGTTTGGGGCCCCCTCTCCAATCAGAGATAAGGAGATGATTTTAGACCCTCATCCTACATAAGAAACCATTAGAGAATTTCTCTGGAAAAATGAACAAAGTAAAAAAACAGTCAACAACTCCCCCGCTCCCTAGCCACTTCCCTAGCTTCCAGCCATCTCTTCCTGAAGTAAGGCTGCCAAATTTGAGTAACACTAAGCTGTCAAAATGACTCAATACATAGCTTGATTATTCTTGCTGATGTTGTATCCCCAGGGAGTGAATTCTGTATAAACATAAGGAGTCTTCCACAGTTTGTAGAAAATGGTGGATCATGAAAACATTTGCATGGATATAATTTTTGCACCAAAATACACATCTTTTAATTCCAGTTTCCCAGAACCTTTCTGAGGGACACTCATATATTCCTTGTTCTTTAGTGAATTATTATAATTTCTGTTCAAATTTGTCTCTTTTTCACTAGAACTCCTATTTGGTTTTCAAGAAGGAAACACCTCTTTTTTCTTTCAGTGAAAAACAGTGAAGTTGTTTTTGCTGAGAGAATAACATATATCATCTTATTCAAATACAGCTGTTATCAAATTATGTTCCCAATTACCTTTTAAGATATATGGAGATTGCGCCACATGTTGACCTTGGAATTTAACTTCGATCTTTAGATTCCTGTAGCTTGCATACATCCTGTATCTCACTATGAAGGACCCATCCTTCCTGTCTAACACCTGGACTCCAACTCGCGTGAACTGCTCATCCGGTGCTGAGATTTTCACCTGGAACACCTTTTCACCCGGAGAATAGGTAAAGCTGTGATGGGAAAAGCAACAAGATACAATGATTGTCAGCACGCTCTTCAGTCTGTAAACCTCTGCTCTCCTCCACACTCTCCCGCTAACATACACTAGCTGGCGCTCCCAGGCTTGTAGCTCCAGAGTGAATATAATGAATCGAGATGCTACAGTTTCACTACACAATCGTAAGGGAATACTTTCAGAAAACTAATCTCTGTAAGCATGACCCATGCTGATGTAGTCTCTAGATAAAAGCATTCTCATTAAATTCCTATTTATCTCATGCCCACCACATCTGGAAATCTCTAATCACATGGTGCTTCCGAAGACGATCTTACTTTGAAAAATCTCCCTTAATGATTCTTCAAGATGACAGTATAAGTCATGCTCTGTCAGGGGCAAAAACAAAGGCGGAAATGCTTCTAGCACCGTGGTGACAATGTGTCAAAACACTTTCCCAGTGCTCATGCTCTTTAAGAGGGCATTTCGTTTTTCCAACACGTTGTACAACAAAATCTTCTTTTCTTTGCTTTGGAAAACATTTCATTCCCAAGAGGTTTTCCCTATAAAGTATCCATGGTCAGCATCCACCAATCATGGCAATCATTTCAGAAGCCGGTGAAGTATATAAGTAAGTTTAGGTACAATCAATGCATTGAACTCGTTAGGATGGGATACGTGTGTCGTGCAATCACACAGGAGACAGATGCTTTCCTTCCAAGTTTTAAACAGAAGTTCCTTTTGTGGATGTCCACCTGAAAACTGAGGGACACGTGAAACCGACCAAGTCTCTAACTCCCGGCCTTAAACTCCTTATAACGGAACAGCAGCTGGAAAGGGTAATTCCAGCCAACTGGAGGGGCTTTGTCTTGCCTTGAGAATGCGCGAGCCCCGCTAAAATGGCTAGGAGAAGAGCTGATTATATACGGCCGCACACTGCATACGAACGACTGTTAGAATCCGTAGTCGACCGGGACGGGCAGACCAGCTGTGCGCAGCGGCCGAAGGTACCGGAACGCACACTGCGGAGCGGGAAGGAGCACTTGGGCAGACAAAACGCGAAGGGAGAGTCGGTCTCCACCGCAATCCGAAAGGTTAGGGGGCCGCGTCTCTACTTACGGGTTCCCTGACGCGTCCACCGCCTGGATATAGAAATAGCGGGCGGGAAGAACGACCTGTGCGTTTAACCCGGGCCCCCATACTCGGCTCTGGTCCGGGCTCAGTCGCCTCTCTCCGCCGCTCTCGGCCAGCGCGGGCACCGTCCCCAGAAAGCAGCAGTGAAGCAGCAAAATGCTAAACATTTACAAGACGGACTCTCGGGGAAGATCCACGGGTAAATGACGCGCGAGTCAGGGCCGCAGCGCCCGCGTGGCCAGGGGAGGACGCCCGTCGCTCGGCCGAGCACCGCGCGGCTCCACTTCCCCGGGACGAGGGCGACAGGCTGGGGCCGCGGCCGCCCCGGAGCCCCGCTCGGGGGCGAAGCCGTGTCGGGTTGCAGCCAGGGCACCACGCGCGGCGATTGGCCCGCGCGTCGGGCCGGGCTGAGCGAGGCCTGCGCCGAGTGGGTGGCGCCGTGCGTCCGCGCCGCGCCTGCGCTCCCTGGGATGTGTAGTTTTCCGTGGGTTGACTTTTCGGCCCCCGCGTGCGGGGAACAGAGAGGCATCCAGCCGATGCTCCGTGGAGGGGCGCGCGGCCCTGCAGGCTCCGCTGCGCTGCGGGGTCTTTTTAGTCGCCGCGTCCTCCGCACGCGCCGAGGGCAGGTATAAAACGCGAGCCGAGGCAGGTGTCGCCCATGCTGCCCGACCACCCGTCGCCGGGCACCGCAGACCAAGGCGCGGACCCCGCGCGCTCCCATGGGACCAGCGACGCCAGCCCCAGGGCAGCCGGAGGCGCGGGCGACGCGCTGGAAGCCGTGAGCCAGGTCCGGAGCCGCAGGCCCGAGGTACCCGGGGCGGGCGCACGGGCCGGGCCCGCTGCCCTTGGTGCTTTGGACGCAGCTGCCGCCTCTCTGAGGCCTGTCTGCGTCCTAGTGGAAGCCACTGCCTCGGTGCCCATCTTCCTGGGGCGCAAGGCGGTAGAGGAGCACCAGGCGGAGAGGGGCGAGTGCCTTCGCGAACAAAGCTCGGCTTGGAAGTGCCCAGGGGACACCCACGGCCCCGTCTCCACGCCACGTGCGGCGGGGCCTGGGAGTCTAGCAGCATCGAGCGGTCTCCCCTGTGCGCCCGGGGCCACCGCTCCCCGTGCCCCACCGGCCGCGGGGAGCCTCCGGCGCTCCGCCTCGCGGCGACCCCAGTCTTCCGGCCGGGAGCCGGGGAGGAGAGCCCAGGGGCGCCTGCGACCCTCGGCCCGCGCGGGGCACTGGGGACGCCTGGCCCTGGCGAGGTCCGCGGGGCGCTCAGGCGGGGAGGCCCACGGCCTTGGGGGCGCAACCGGGCGCCGCCCCCGCACACACGCACTCTGCACGGCCGGCAGCGGCCTGCGCGACTGTCGCCCCCGCCTCCGCCTCCGCCTCTGCGACCACCTAGCCTGGCCGCGGAGCGGGCGCTGGGACCTCGGCCGGCCTCCCCCGGAGCCTGGGCCGGAGGCGGGCGTCGCGTCCCGGTATCCTTTCCTAAGCCGGCGGCCTCTGCCCTGGAGAGAAGCAGGGCAGGGGGCCTGGCGGGCGTCGGGGAGGGAGGGAGGCCCGGCTGGACTCTGCTTTCGCCCCTAGGCCCGTAGTGTGCCCTTAGTAAGTCACAGAGCACAGGTCCCATTTGTCATCTGTGGAAGGCTTTGCTGGGGACTTCCAAAGATGTTTAGTTCTCCGAAGAACTCCATACTAAAGAATGCAGGCTTCCAGTAGAGATAATGTGCTAAGGACAGGATCTGAGCGGTGAATACTGGTTTTGCTTATTTTGCAGGACGGTTTGTTGCTGTGGCTTTCAAAAATCGCTGCTTCCGCGAGGCCTTTAAAAATTGCATTTTCTCAAAATTGGCTTTGCCGATAATTGATACTTTTGTTCCTTGCAATGTGGCTTTATGAATAAACCATTCGGTTAGGCTGGCACTTGTTCTTATGAGTGACTCTGTACAGCAGTGCCTCACTTACATGGATAAGGGGGCTCTCAGTCGATCAGAATGAGGGTTTACCGTAATGCTTGGCGCCATGTAATCGCTATAAAAGTGTTTGTTGACTGAGGCGCTCACAAATGGGGATTCTGTAGTCAGCAGGGCTGATGTGGATCACAGACGTGGAAGTTACACCCTGGTGAGACCTGTGCAAGAAAGATACCAAGTGCGTACAGGGTACCTGGCCTAGTTTGGAGGGTGAAATGAGCTTCCTCTAGAAAGTGCTAGTTGAGCAGACATTGGAAAGATGAATGGGAATTAACTAAGCGGAGCAGGGTGGGTGGGAGGCACTGCATGCAGAGAACCAACAAGTCGTCAGCGTGGAAGGAGGAAGAGGGAGTGGGAAGAGGCGGCTGAGCCCCGGGCCTTTTGTTCCAAGAGCAGACGCTTTCAGGCCTGGAGGTGCTGTGCTCATATGTATGTAGTGAACTTTTTCTAGTACCCATGCACAGGTCAGATAGGAGATGTCAGCCTGTGGGCGTGGAACTGGGAACGGGTTCTAGAGACAAAAGGAAATCCAAGATGGGAAAAACCATGACGGCTGCAGACTGCAGAGTGGAGGGAGGAACCATAGTCTATCGTTAGTATTTCCTGAGGCTCTCATTACAACGTAATTGGCGTCGGTGATGGCTCTGTAATGACCTGTGCTCAGTTCACTTTAGGAAAACTGGGATCTGAGGAAGGCACGGCGGGCCCAGTGGTAGAAGCCCCCTAGGTGCACAGACTGCAGACATGAACCAGATGATACAAGGGACAATGGACACTAACATTATGGGGGTCATCATGGGTTTTGGATCCGTCATATTCTGGATAATGTTTTTACGCTTGATATTTTTTTCCCTGCAATGACTTGCTTATGTAATAAGATCTATAAATACTACACAAATTTTCAAAGAGAAATTTACATAAACTGAGTCAAAAGCATATTTTGATACTCCTGATTTTTAGTGTCAATCAAGATAAAATCTGTCCTTTTTTTGATCTTTGCTTTGTTTTGCTAAAATGGAGCAAAGAGGTCCTTTTTGTTGAGTGACCATATTTAAAAAGCAAACAGACCCAAAGCACAAACAAAACCAGTCACATATTTTTTCCATTAATGAAATGTGATATGAGGAGTATTCAAAAAGTTCAATATGTTCAGGAAATGCCTATGATGAAAAAACCATGCACAGATTGCAAAAGTTTTTTGCACCAAAATAACCTTGTCTTGCAGTTCTGTTTTTCCATGAACATTCTGAAGTGCCCTGGCATGGCCTTTCTATTCCAGGAAGCTCAGCCCTAATTTGTGTGCTCACAGTGATTTCTCTGTGATGGTTTTGATCGGAATATTCTGTCTTTATTCTAAATGGGCATATTTCATGAAGTCGCCTCATTGCTGCACAGAGAGCCAGTCCACAGGCAAAGCTCCATTCACCTTGAGGGAGGAAGCTAAGGCCAAGTGGAAGCCATGCTTCAGATTAGGACCATTTCCATCTCACCACCCCTCCTTCACCACCAGACCATGTCCAGTAATGCTCTACCGTACCGCACCTCCACACCACAAATACACACTGCCTCTGTCCAGCACGCTCGGTCTTAGAGAAAGGCCTGAGGTTCCCAGATACGAAGTACAAAATGCTGTGCTAGGATGTCTGCTGAGAGTCAGAGAAACAATCCTCAAAGAAAAGTGGAGTTTGATCTTGTCAGGCCCTGAGCTCCCCCTTGTATCTCCACCACTGTCACCATCACACCAGGATGTGAGGAAGGGGCACAAAGCACAGATGCCTCTGGTCTAGGGATCCACTGCTCCCACTCCCAAGTGTCTCTACCAGAAATACGGTGAATGTTTTCAAGCTGTAACCATCCTTGGGTGGTGATGCTTCTGCCAAACCCACCTTCTTGCAGCTATAAGCTTCATGAATCACTGAAAATCTACCTGGAGGTATGCACGGAGAGAGCTTTACTTCATGTAAGGAAACTGGAATCCTACCCAGCACCTGTGGAGTTCTGTTTCCTTCAGTTTCATGGAGGCCTTGCAGTGCCTTGACTAGTTCCTCCTCATGGATTAGGAGAATATAGGGGCTGTTAGTGAATCATCTTCCATTGTTCTTGTAGCCTTAGTCATAGGTTTTGTCATTCAGCATTTGTCAGGTAGATTTGATGTGATCATTTTCTATAACCTGTGAAAGTTATTTTCATTTCTTTTGTAAAGTAAGCATTAACTGTTAGAAGTCAAACTGATGACCCAGCATGGCCTGAGAAACCAGCAGGCTGTGTCCAGGCACCTATGTGGGGCTGTCTCCTGTGTTACCAGGATGGTTTGATTCATTAAAGCCTTTATTGGTTTAAATAAATCTTCAGCTTCTTTAAGTGTCCTTGGCTGTATTTAAACTTTTCTGTGCTTTCTTTTGCAGAGGAATCTGTTTCGACTTGAATTTTCCTGAGACTGATCAGAAGTTAGTGACTCCTGCTTTGGATCTATGTTTTTGTTCAGGTGAAGGCTCCTTTAAAAATAAAATGAAAATTCTGTTTTTTTGTTGTTATTGATTTAAATCTGACCACTATTCATCATGTAACTTTTGTTCCTATATGTAAAGACATTATCTTGCTAATACGTTATTTTTATATAGCTTTACTGAGGCATAATTCATGTACCATAAAATTCATCCATTAAAGTATATAATTCAATGATTTTTATTAGTTCACAAAATTATAAATTTATCACCAATTATAGCATATTATATTATCATAACCGCAAAAATAAACTCCATCATTCCCAAGCTTCAATCCCTAGACATCTAGTAATCTGCCGTTTGTCTCTATAGATTTGCCCATTCTGAAATTTTATATAAATGAAATCAAATGCTGTCTGGTCCTTTTGTGACTGGCTTCTTTTACTTAGCTTTACTTCTTTTTTTTTTTTTACTACTTTTTTTTTTTTTACTTCTTTTACTTTACAAAGATCCATCCATATTCAGTACTTCACATCTTTATATTGCCAAGTAATATTTCCATTGTATGGTTACAACACACTTATTCATCCATTCTTCAATTGATGGCCATTTGGGTTGTTTTCACTTTGTGACTGCCATAAATAAAGGTGCTGTTAATATTGGTGTGGACATATGTTTTCGTTTTTCTTTCGTGTAGACCTAGCAGTGAAATTGCTGGACCATATGGTGACTTTGTGTGTGATTGATGGAGGACTCTTTACCAAAGTGAATGGATCTGTTACATTTCTTTTTTTTTTTTTTTCCAAAGGATCCATCTTACAGCGTTTCTGTAATTTTAGGAGCCAGAAGACAACTGTGGCATTAGTTTCCCCTCACTCTTTGCTCTTTTATTCTTTAAAAATTTTTTTTAAAAGATCTTATTTATTTATTTGAGTTACAGACAGTGAGAGGGAGAGACGGAAAGAAAGATCTTCCATCCGCTGGTTTACTTTTTTTTTTAGATTTATTTTATTTTTTTGAAAGAGTTACACAGAGAGAGAAGGAGAGGCAGAGAGAAAGAGGGAGAGGGAGAGAAAGAGAGAGATCTTCCATCTGCTGGTTCACTGCCCAAATGGCCGCAACAGCTGGAACTGGACCCATCCAAAGCCAAGAACCAGGAACTTCTTCTGGGTCTCCCAAACGGGTTCAGGGACCCAAGGACCTGGGCCATCCTCCACTGCCTTCCCGGGTCATAGCAGAGAGCTGAATCAAAAGTAGAGCAGCTGGGACTTGAACCATATGGGATTTTGGCACTGCAGGCAGTGGCTTGACCCACTACACCACAGTGCCAGCCCCTGGATCTGTTACAGTTACTAGCAGTGCTTCAGTGCTGATTTCTCTGCATCCCGGTCAACACTTGCCACTCTTGTTCAGTTATAGTTGTCCTAGTGGGTGTGAGGTTTTATCTCACTGTGATTTTGATGTGCATTTCCGTGGTGGCCAGTATGTTGAGCATCTTTTCATGTGCTTTTTGGTGTTTCTGTATTGTCCTTGGGGAGGTAACTGTTAGCATAGTTTACCTGTTTTATAATTGGGCTATTTGTCTTTTTTGTTATTTGAGTGCATTGTTTACAAATTTTAAAATAATGAGATAGATGGCACATGGACTGTGACTGTAAGCATCTAGTAGTGTAAAGTCAGTATTCGATGAATGAAGGCAAATGGAGGATACTTGCTACATGTTTAGAGTTGTTTGTAGTGTCTAGTGGATTGTTGATCAAGCTTTCTCTTCCTTTTCTTAGGAGCTCGATTTTGCAGCTCTCAGGTTTTACTAGAATGCTGTAAACAACGCCTTCTGCTTCTTGACAGTTTCGTCAGAGTTGCAACTTCTTCCCAGTAACAGAAACTTACAGTTGCATTCAATGCCTAACGTTGTAGAAACAGAAAGGTCAAATGATCCTGGAAATGGTGAGCACAGATCTGAGAGGAAGTCTCCTGAAGAGAATCTACAAGGTGCTGTAAAATCTTTCTGCACAAGTGCCTCAGGGGCACCCTTGGGTCCCAAAGGAGATGGTCACTATCCATGGAGTTGTCCAGTGACTCACACACGGGAAAAAATTTATGCCATCTGTTCAGATTATGCCTTTCTCAACCAGGCAACCTCAATCTATAAAACTCCAAATTCAACCCGCTCATCTTGCCTTCCTGACAGTACCTCTTTATCTGCTGGAAATAATTCATCAAGATACATTGGCATCCCAACTAGCACTTCGGAAATAATCTATAATGAAGAAAACAGCCTGGAAAACTTATCCAATAGCTTGGGCAAGCTGCCTCTTGCGTGGGAAATTGATAAATCTGAGTTTGATGGAGTGACCACAAATTTGAAACACAAATCGGGTAAGAAAGGAGCCATGACATTTGTGTGTAAAAAAGAGAACAAATACTTTCCTTGTTTATCCTAACATTAAACATGTTTTCCTTTCATGATACTGAACAAGGACCAAAGCTATCACTTTGTCTGTCATTGTAGTTTAAAAAAAAAAAAAAGCAAACTAAGCAAAGCAAAAACCACAACCGTGGACACAGGGTATTTCATTAATGTGTTAGCACTGGAAGTGACAAGCTTAGAATGTTGTAAAATACAGGTATGGTAGACAAGTACATGGTAGCTTAGAAAAGATTGATGGGTTGACTGAAATAGCATACTACTACTTCATATGAATAAATTCATACTTCCTGTCTAAGCATCGAGTTTCTTTCTATATAACATTGTGGCTTTTATTATTCAAAATTTTTTGAGCACCTAGCAAGACCTACATGTGCCACTCAGTAGGTTGTGCACTGCACAGTGGAAGAGAGTGCCATTCACTTAGGGTGCAATGTACAACCTCCACAGTTGTGACGGGATGGTGCTGTGGAAGTTGCAAATGTTTTTCATGTGTCTCTCTCTTTTTAGTTATTTGAAAATCAGGGGGCTAGCACTAACGCCTGGTAGGCTAAGCCTCTACCTACGGTGCCGGCATCCGATATTGGTGTCATTTGTGTCCCAACTGCTCCTCTTCCAATCCAGCTCTCTGCTTATGGCCTAGGAGAGCAGACGAAGATGGCTCAAGTGCCTGGGCCCATGCACCCATGTGGTAGACCTGGAAAAAGCTCCTGGCTCCTGGCTTCAGATCAGCTCCTCTCTGGCCGTTGTGGCCATGTGGGGAGTGAACCAGCAGTTGGAAGGCCTTTCTCTGTGTCTCTCCCTCTCTCTGTCTGTAACTCTACCTCTCAAATAAGTTAAAAAAAAAAAGAAGAAGAAAAGAAAATCAGAGTTACAGAGAGTGGGAGAGACAGAGATATTCCATCTGCTGGTTCACTCCACAAATGGCCACAATATCCAGGGTTGAGCCAGGCTGAAGCCAGGAGCCAGGGGCTTAATCAAGTACTCCCATGTGGGTAACAGGGACTCAAACACTTGGGCCATCTTCTGCTTTTCCCAAGCCATTAGCATGAGCTGGATCAGAAGTGGAGCAGCTGGGGCACAAACTGGCATCCATGTGGAATGCTGGCGATGCGGGTGGCAGCTTTATTCACTACGCCACATCACTGCTCCCTTCCTGTCTCTTTTTAAGTCACAGTAATACATGTGAATTTTATGTGGTATGCACTTGTATCCCCATTTTATATGTGAAGAAATTGAGCTGTAGGATAAATCTCTAACCCAAAATTGCATAGCTGGTGAGGGGTAAAATAGGATTTGTATTTTAGTTCTAGATTTCTCTGATGATTTTATAAAATCTTCATACTTTTGCATGTTCATTTTCAAATAACTTGTTTCACAGAAAATTACGTAAATTTGTAATTCTTGAGAGCGTGAGATAGGTTTCATCTTACGTCTATATGAGTCTGTAATTATTTTTGTAATGTCTCTCTCGGGTTTTTGCAGTTAGCACCTTGCAAGTCTCCTTGTGTTGGGAAGTTTTCTTGTTTATTGGAAGCTTTCAGAGGGATATTCTCGAGCTACAATTATGGAGTTAGCTTGTTTCCCATTAATTCATGACAAGTTTTAGGATGTCCATTTGTCAAATTTGTGGGCATAAAGTTGTTTTTAATCTACTTTCTAATTATCTAATGTATTATTTATAACTTCTTTTTCATTCTTAATACTGATAACATGTTCTTTTTTTTCTTGATCAGTCCAAGTAGGTGATTATCAGGTTTGTTCATCTATGTTTTAAAAAGATTTTATTTATTTGTTTGAAAGTCAGAGTTAGAGAGAGGGAGAGACATACAGAGAGATCTTCCATCCTCTGTTTCACTCCCCAGATGGCTGCTATGGCCAGGACTGGGCCAGGCCAAAGCTAGGAGCCAGGAGCTTCTTCCAGGTCTCCCATGTGGGTGGCAGGGACCCAAGTACTCGAGCCATCTTCCGCTGCTTTCCCAGGCCATTAGCAGAGAGCTGGATTGGAAATGGAGCAGCCGGGACACAAACCAGTGCCTAAATGGGATGCCAACATTGCAAGCAGTGACTTTACCTGCTATGGTACAATACCAGCCCCTGTTCATCTTTTCAAATAACCACCCTTCAATTTTCTTTATTTTCTCAACTGTTTGCTTTCTATTTCATTGATTTCTGCTGTTAATTTCTTCTTTCTATTTACTTTGCATTTAATTTGTTCTTCACTTTCTGACCTCTTAAATGGAAAGTTAGATCAGATTTGAGACTTTTCTTTCAGTATAGTGCTCTAAACTGCTGTTAACATTCTCCTTAAGTGGCAGCCCACAATTTTTGATAATTATATTCTTATTTAATTGGAATTACTTTCTAGTTTATTTTGATACAGACATATTTAGGCACATGCTGTTTAGTTTCCAGATATTTGGGGTTTCTAATTTAATTTCATTGTAGATAGAGAGAATATGATCTCAGTCTTTCTATATTTACTGAGACTTGGTTTATGACCCAGTTTATGGTCTCTCTTGTTGAATGTACCATGTATGATTGAAAAAATGTCCAGGTGGGCAGTTAACCTTGTGGTTAAAACTCTGGTTAAGCTACCTGTATCTCATATTGGAGTACCTGAGTTCATACTCTGCTCTGGCTCCTGACTCCAGCCTCTTGCTACTGCAGATCTGGAAGGCAGTGGTGATGGCTCAATTAGTTGGGTTCCTGCCACCTACCCACATGGGAGACCTGGATTTGATTCTCTGCTTCCAGTTCTGGGCTGTCCCAGTCTTAGCCATCGTGAGTATAACTAACCGATCAACGCTCTGTCTCTCTGCCTCCTTGCCTCTAAAAAATAATTTCAACAATTAAAATAATTCATTCTGTCTTCATTGGTTGTAGTATTCTGTAAATTAGGTCCAAGTATTTGAAAGTGTTACTTGCTTTTTCTATGTTTCTTCTTAATTTGTATCTTGTTCTGTTGGTTGTTGAAAGGGGTGTTAAAAATCTCCGATTCTGATGGTGGAATTGTCTTTTCTCTATTTCATTTCCTTCTTTAACACAATTTTTTATTGTGATAAAATGTGGAAAACATGAAATTTACCATCATGACCATTTTTGAGTGTACATTGTTGCATAATGGTCACCACCATCCATTTCCAGTTCTCTACGATCTTGCAAAACTGGTAGGATGCCTGATAAATAATACCTCCCCATTCCCTCTCCCCTTAGCCCTTGATAGCCCCATTTTTTTTAAAGATCTATTCATTTATTTTGAAAATCAGAGTTAGAGAGAGAGAGAGTGAGTGAGCTTCCGTCTGCTGGTTCACTCCCCAAATGGCTGTAATAGCCAGGGCTGGGCCAAGCTGAAGCCAAGAGTCAGGAGCTTCATCCGGGTCTTCCATGTGGGTGCAGGGGCCCAAGCATTTGGGCCATCTTCTGATGCTTTCCCAGATGCATTAGCAGGGAACTGGATTGGAAGTGGAGCAGGTGGGACTCTAAGCAGTGCCCATATGGGATGCCTGTGGTGTCACAGGCATTGGCTCAATATGCTTAACCCATTAATGCCACAATGCTGGACCCCATAGCCTGCATGTTACTCTGTTTCTGTATGAGTTTGTCTACTTCAGGGGCTTCATTTAAGGGGAAGCATACAGAATTTGTCTTTTTCACTGACTTATTTATAGCCACCTCTTCTCTCTTATGTTCACTATTTAGTTGGACTATCTTTTTACATCCTTCACTTTCAACCAATTTGCATCTGTAGATAGAAAGCAAATGTCTTATAGATTGCATATAACTTGGCCAATTTTCTTTGATGAGTTTAATCCATTTATATATATTTAAAAAAATTTTTAAAAATTTTTTTGAAAGGTAGAGTTACCAACAGTGAGAGATTAAGACAGAGAGAAAGGTCTTTCTTCTGTTTGTTCACCCCCCAAATGGTTGCTATGGCTGGCGTGCTGTGCCAATCCGAAGCCAGGAGCCAGGAGCCAGGTGCTTCCTCCTGGTTTCCCATGCAGGTGCAGGGGCCCAAGCACTTGGGCCATCCTCCACTGCCCTTCTGGGCCACAGCAGAGAGCTGGACTGGAAGAGGAGCAAGGGGCGCCCATATCGGATGCTGGTGCCACCGCAGGCGCCGGCCTGTTAATCCATTTATATTTAAAATTACTGATAAGGAGGGATTCTGTCACTTTGTTATTTGCTTTGAGTATGCCTTAAATCTTTTTTGCCCCTTATTTCCTGTATTACTCTCTTCTTTTGTATTTAGTTGTTTTTACATTGAAATGTTTTAATTTCCTCCTACTTATAAGTGAATTTAAAAGATTTATTTATCTATTTGAAAGAGTTCCAGGGTTGGGGGGGGGAGGGCGGGAAGGAAGAGACAAAGAGAGAATCTTCCACGCACTGGTTCACTCCCCAAATGGCTGCAACAGTCAGGGCTGGGTAATGCTGAAGCCAGGAGCCAGGAGCCAGGAGCCAGGAGCCAGGAACTTCTTCTAGGTCTTCCACGCAGGTGGCAGAGGCCCAGATACTTGGGCCATCTGCTGCTGCTTTTCCCAGGTCATTAGCGGGGAGCTGGATCAGAAGTAGAGCATTGGGACACAAATTGGTACCCATATGCAATGCCGTGTCACAGGCATTGGCTCAACATGCTATACCACAATGCCAGCCCTTATACCTATTTTCTTTGTACTTACCATGGAGATAATATACTAATGTTAAAACACTCTAATTTGAATTTCTACAAGTTTAATTTAAATAACATACAAGAATTGTTCCTATACAGCTTTATCCCTAATCTCTGAGTTACTGATGTTATAGAATTGTATCTTTATACATTGTGTGTCCAAAAACATATATAACTTTTATGAATTAATCTCTTAAATAATTTAGAAAATAAATTTGGAGTTAAAAACTAAAGTTGTAATTCCTAAACTAATAATAGTTTAAAAATTATTAATCTTTAAATCATATAAATTGCAAAAAGTTTAGTTGAAAACCGAAGGTAAAAAAATACTAGAGTTTTATAATTTTCTATGTATTTACTTTCAACACCTTCACTTCTTCATATGTCATTGAGTTACTCTCTAGTGTGATTTCATTTCAGCATGCAGGACTCCTTTATTACTTCTCAAGGGAAAGTCTATTGATAAAGAACTCCCTCAGCTTTTGTTTGTCAGGGTGTGTCTTCACTTCTCCTTCACCTTTAAAGGACAGATTTGCAGAAAATATGATACTTATTGACCTTTTGAAGGGTTAAAAAGTTAAAAGCCGCTCCCCCTCCCCTCCTCTGGTGAACTTTCCTGACCTCGTTAGACTTGCTCTGCATAGCCATTCTCTATAAAGTTAGTTAGTAAATTACCCCAATGTAAGGTTAGTTTCACCTAAGTAAGATAGAAGAAGTCACTGTATATCTCTTTGCCTCCTGGAACTCTGACCCCACCATGTGTCCCTTATCGCCATTCGGCTGCATTCCTAGGTATCATCAAGGCAGTTCCTGCAGCCTTGTTGTGTGGCCCTCCCTTTTGGCAATAGGAGGCTTTTTGATATTCCCTGTATAGGCCATATGGTTCTCTGAGGTCTAATCAGGCCCTTACTCGATATCCTGTATTCCCTGTATTCATAAATCAACTGGTTGTAAAATCACTTAACTTGTATCAATTGTTTACTCTATACCACTGTCTGATCTATGCAATGATTGATTTTCTTTGTTTACACGTGTATAAAAACCCCAACCCAAGACTATTTGAGGCCGCTCGCCTGTACTGGGATGGGGGCCCCGATATGTCGGATCATCAATAAACCTTACCCTTTGTTAATTGCATGAGAGAAGGTCTCTTGGAGCGTTTTTGGGGTGGCAGGAGCAATCCAACTCTAACGATTTCTTTTCTTTTATCACTTTGTTTATATAAGCCTTCTATTTCTGTTTGTTCACCCCCCATATGGCTGTCACGGCCGGCACGCTGCGCCAATCCAAAGCCAGAAGCCAGGTGCTTCCTCTTGGTTTCCCATGCAGGTGCAGGGCCCAAGCGCTTGGGCCATCCTCCACTGCACTCCCGGGCCACAGCAGAGAGCTGGACTGGAAGAGGAGCAACCAGGACAGAACCAGTGCCCCAACCGGGACTAGAATCTGGGGTGCCGGTGCTGCAGGTGGAAGATTAGCCTAGTGAGCCACGGCGCTGGCCTGGATTCCAAAGTTTCTAATGAGAATCTTCTGATATTCTTATTGAGGACTCCTTTTATGTGATGAGTCTCTTTTCTCTTTGTCTTTGTCTTTCTCCACTTTGATTATGTGCTTATTGTAGGTTTTTTGAATTCCCTACACTTGGAGTTCATCGAGTTTCTCAAGTGTTTACTCATGTCTTCCATCACAATTTGAGAATTTTTTAGCCTATCATTTTTTGATTACTTATAGCACATGGGTTGCTCTACTTGATGTGTCCCACTGGCTTTTTTTTCCCCCAAGATTTTATTTATTTATTTATTTGAGAGGCAGAGTTATAGAGAGAAGAAGAGATGAGATAAAGGTCTTTCGGACAGGCCGGCGCTGCAGCTCACCAGGCTAATCCTCTGCCTAGCGGCGCCGGCACACCTGGTTCTAGTGCCGGTGGGGGCGCCGGATTCTGTCCCGGTTGCCCCTCTTCCAGGCCAGCTCTCTGCTGTGGCCAGGGAGTGCAGTGGAGGATGGCCCAAGTACTTGGGCCCTGCACCCCATGGGAGACCAGGAGAAGCACCTGGCTCCTGCCTTCGGATCAGTGCGATGCGCTGGCCGCAGCGCACGGGCCACGGCAGCCATTGGAGGGTGAACCAACAGCAAAGGAAGACCTTTCTCTCTGTCTCTCTCTCTCACTGTCTACTCTGCCTGTCAAAAAAAAAAAAAAAAGTCTTCCGATCTTCCATTTGCTGGTTCACTCTCCAAATGGCTGCAGTGGCTGGAGCTGTGCCGATCCAAAGCCAGGGCCAGCAGCTTCTTCTGAGTCTCCTACATGTGTGCAGGGGATCAGGCACTTGGGCCATCCTCCACTGCTTTCCCAGGCCATAAGCAGAGAGCCAGCAGCCAGAGTGGGAACCAGTGCCCCTGTGGGCTGTCAGCATTACAGGTGAAGGCTTTAGCGCACTAGGGCACAGCACTGTCCCCCCCCCCCAGCTGTTTTTTCTTTTCTTTGACAGCTTTTATTGTTTCTCAGACAGTAATTTCAATTCTCCTATATTCACATTCGCTAGTTCGTTCTGCTTGCTCAAATCTGCCTATGAATCCTTGTAGTGAATTTTTCATTTCAGTGATTATATTTTTCAGTTCAAGAATTTTTTTTGGGGGGGGGAATCTCTGTCCATTGACATTTCTGTTTTGTGCACATGCGTCTTTATTTCTTTGAGTATCTTTAAGACAGTGGTTTTAAGGGTGTTGTCCGGTTTTTCTCAGAGATGGTTTCTGTTTGTTTCCCTTTCAGTGGGCCACACTTTTCTCTCTCTGTTTGAATGCCTTGTGATTTTTTTTAAATTGAAACTGAACGTTGACTGTAATGTAATAATTTTGTGATTCTGGAAATCAGAGTCTTCTCTCCCCCGGGGTTTTTTGAGTTTTCTTTTCGTTTTCTGATTGCTGTAGGTGGTGTCTGCTGAGGATCAGCCTCAGATCTTTTTTAAAAAGCCCGGGCCATTTCCTGGGTATGCACAGTGACTTCTAAATTTCTGCATATGTGTGGTTGCTTATGGATGTTTTACACTTCAGGTATCTGGTTACAAAAGGAAAAAAAAGAGAAAAAAAATAGGAAAAAAAAACCCATCAAAGTGCTGGCCTGTTAGAGTCTCTGGAAGTTGCTAGAGGAGGCGGGGCTTGCACAGTGGTGTGCAGGGTACAGAATGGCTGCTCCTCCCTCAGTTTCTGGACCTTTAAGATCCAAAGCAGCAAACAGCAGTTAGAACATAGACCTTATTTTCTAGGACATGGTCTTTTTTGCCCAGCCTGGCTCTGGCAAGCTGCCTGCAAGCTGCAGCAGGAATGTGGGCACAGTTGCCTGTCCCTGGGCTAGGAGATGGGCAGTTTTTTTTTTTTTTTCCCCACTAAGAGCTAAAATTGACTAATACTAACCACAGTTTATTGATCAAAGCTTTAGCTGGAAATTGCAGTCCTTTGCAGACTCCTGCATTCCAAAGGCATTTAACTTTGTTGATTTAAAAAACAATGTAATTTGAAGATCTGTTATTAGGTGCATACAAGTGACAGTTACGCCTTTTTCATGAGTTCCCCCTTTTATTGTTGTGATTCATCATTCCTGGCAGTATTTCCTATTCTGAAAGCTGATTTTAATAAGATTGTTTCAGCTTTTTCTTGATTAGTATTATTTTTGGTATATTTTTTACATCCATTTATTTTAATTCTAGAATTTAAATTTCCAAAAATTATGTTTATTCTGTTTATTTGAAAGCAGGAAAGAGAGAGAGAGAGAGAGAGAGAGGTATTTTCCGCTTAATGGCTCTGTTCCCAAGTGCCCACAACAACAACTGGGGCGGGGCTGGGCCCAAGCAGGAAGCCAGACCTCCCCAGTGGGTGGTAGGGACTTAACCACTTGAGCCATCATCTGCTGTCTCTCAGGGTGCACATTAGCAGGAAGCTGGAATCAGGAACAGAGATGGGACTTGATCCCAGGCACTCTGATAAAGGATGTGGGCATCCCAAGTGGTGTCCTAATTGCTATGTCAACCCCTGCCCCTAAATTTTTAACAACTTCTGGTTTTCTTCTGATATTTGGTGTGGTTTCATTTTGTAATGAGCATTTTGTCTATCTAGATAGTTATAATACCTATTTTTTAAAGTCCTTGTTTGCAAATCTCAGAATCGGAGTCAACTCAGATGGACTTTATCTGTTTTCTTGAGAACTAGTCCTATATGTTTTTCAGTTTTCTCACATATTCTATAAATTTTGATTATATGCTAGATAGTGGATCTCTTTGTGCATTTTCTAAGCATATAATTATGTAATTAGAGTTTATAACTTATGATTAACTCACATAAACTATGAGCTCAGTTAATTTTTATAACAGACTTATTTCATTTAAAATAGAATATGTGTGAAAGATATTAAAGTATTTGAGCATATGTATCTGTTTTTTTTTTTTTTTTTTTTTTTTGACAGGCAGAGTGGACAGTGAGAGAGAGAGAGACAGAGAGAAAGGTCTTCCTTTGCCGTTGGTTCACCCTCCAATGGCCGCCGCGGCCGGCGCGCTGCGGACGGCGCACCGCGCTGATCCGATGACAGGAGCCAGGTGCTTCTCCTGGTCTCCCATGGGGTGCAGGGCCCCAGTACTTGGGCCATCCTCCACTGCCCTCCTGGGCCACAGCAGAGAGCTGGCCTGGAAGAGGGGCAACCAGGACAGAATCCGGCGCCCCGACCGGGACTGGAACCCCGTGTGCCGGCGCCGCAAGGCGGAGGATTAGCCTAGTGAGCCGTGGCGCCAGCCGGCAACTTTCTATATATTTTAAATTTAGGCCGCTAGGCGGAGAATTAGCCTAGTGAGCCGCAGCGCCAGCCCTTGAGCATATGTATCTGAAGTGTTCATAGTATCTAATGAAATGATGTATGGAAAATAAATAGCAGTTTTTCACATTCTAATTTGTATGGTTTTAAAAAAAATTTATTTATGTATGTGAGAAACAGTGTGGCAGAGAGACAGACAGATATTCCGTCCTCTGGTTCACTCCTCCAATGGCTGCAACATCCAGTGCTGGGCCAGACCAAAGTCAGGCACCAGGAACTCCATCCAGCTCTCCCATGTGCGTCACAGTGATTTAGGTACTTAAGCTAATATCCTGTGGGTCCCAGGCACATTAGCAGCGAGCTGGATCAGAAATGGAGTAGCTGGAACTTGAACTGGTACTGCTATATGGGATGTGGGTGTCCCAAGCAGTGCCTTAACTGATGCTGCACCACAACAGCTGCCCCTAATTTGTGTAATTTTTTTTGACTGGGTAATACATTAGTGTGCTTCACTAGCAAAAAGCATAAAATCAAGCAGTATACACTATTACTTTCAGGGTGAATATTTGGAACAGTAGTTAAGATGTCACTTGAATGCCTTGCATTGTTCGGAATCTGGGTTTGAGTCTCAGCTCCACTTCCAATTCCAGCTTCCTCCTAATGAGCGCCCCAGAAGGCTGCAGGTGGCGGCTCAAACAGATGGGTCCCTGCCACACTTGTGAGAGACCCAGATGACGTTCCAGGCTCTTGGCTTCTGCTTGGCCAAGCTGTGGCTGTTATGGGCACTTGGGGATCCTGTGGATGGGAGATTTATCTTCCTTCTTTTCTTCTTTGTCTCTCTGCCTTTCAAATAAATTAAAATAAACAAGTAAAAATTATAAAGTAATACTTATTCTCCATTTTGTACCTCTTTTGTGTAGTTTCCAATCCCTTATTTCCTTAATAGGTGACCACTGTTGCTTGTATTTGGTATCAATTAATAGGAGAATGTGTGTGTGTTCATGCAAAAGTATGTACATGTATTATGTGTATATATACATGTATGCATACAGGCACACAGAAACTGCCTTCCGTTATACTTCCTGATGCTAAAATTGCATTTTAATAATGTATACACGTGCATCATTCTTTATCCATTTTGTGGTCTCTGTAGGCCTGGGGATATTTTTAAGTAGCACATCATCATATTATTGGATTCCCTGCTTTTACTTTTTAAACTGATTTGCTTTAACGTGATTTTATTGTATTGTAAAAGGGTTTCATTTTCTGGAAAGTGGTCTGGATAAATATTTTATTTGTAATTTGATTTTCAAGGTGTGGCTAAGGACTTTGTGATTTGTTCTTTTACCAGATAAGTGACTAGCTTTTGAATTGAAACATAAGATCCAAATAAGAATCAGCATTCATTGTTTTTTTTAACAGTGTTTTTTAAATTTATATAAGGTGAACAAATTTCATGTATTTCATATATACAGATTTAGGAGCATAGATTTAAGAGCACATTTTCCACCCTACCCTCCCTCCTGGCCATGCTGCCACCCTCCCTTCTCCCTCCTTTGTTATTATTTCTTTTAATTTTTACAATGACATATTTTCAGCTTATTTTATAATCACAAGATTAATCCTCCACTAAGTAAAGAATTCAACCAAAAGTAAGAAAAAAACCCACTATTCAATACAGTAGAAACAAGCGCTGCAAACACTAATCAATTCTCAAACTGTCTGTTTGTCTAATAATACATTTTTTGTACTCTGTTAGGTACCATAGATTGGGAAAACATATGGTATTTGTCTTTTTGGGACTGGCTTATTTCACTAAGTATAATAGTTTCTAGTTGCATCCTTTTTGGTGCAAAAGACAGGATTTCATTTTTTAGGGCCCAGTAATATTCCAAAGTATATAAATACCACATTTCTTTATCCAATCTCAGTTCTTGGGCATCTGGGTTGATTCCATGTTTTAGCTATTGTGCGTGGAGCTGCAATATAAACCTGGGGGTATAGATAATTCTTTCATATGCTGATTTCATTTCATTTTGGTAAATTCCCAGGAGTGGGATGCATGAGTTCTATGGTAGCTCTATTTTCAGCTTTCAAAGGAATCTCCATACTGTCTTCCATGATGACTGTACTAGTTTGCATTCCCACCAGCAGTGGATTCAGGAACCCTTTTCCCCATATCTTCGTCAGCATTTATTGTTTTTTGATTTCTATATGATAGCTAGGGTACTGGGGTGACATGAAACCTCATTGTGGTTTTGATTTGCGATTCCCTGATGGCTAGTGATCCTGAGCATTTTTTCTTGTATGTTGTCCATTTGAATTTCATCTTTTTAAAAATGCCTGTTCAAGTCCGTTGCCCAGTTCTTAACTGGATTGTTTTGCTGTTGATGAGTTTCTTGAGCTCTTTATAGATTCTGAACGTTAACCCTTCATCAGTTGTGTAGTTTGCAAATATTTTCTCCCATTCTGTCGCTTGCCTCTTCACTTTGCTGTGTTCCTTTTGCAGTGCAAAAGCTTCTCAGTTTGTTGTAATCCCATTTTTCCATTGTGGCTTTGATTGCCTGTGCTTTTGGGGTCCTTTCCAAGAAGTCTTTGCCTATGTTGTACAGTTTCTCCAATGTTCTCCCTTAGTAATTGGAAGGTATCAGGTAGGAGATTCAGATCCTTGATCCATTTTGAGTTGAAGCATTTGTTGATGATTAAATTTGTTTTTATTCTCTTTTTCTCTTTGAGGTAGGGAACTGTCCTTGAAAAGACATGTTTTACTATACTATTTTTTTTTTTTTGTAAATATCATGCATAGAACTAGTGCTGGTTGCTTTTTAATTTTGGTATGTAATTAAATTTTGTCATGGCAGTTAAGTTTGTCTTAAGCATTTTGCTTATTTCATACTTTTATATTTTAGGCAATGCAAAGAAACAAATTTCTAAGAAGAAAACTTCAGATAAAAAGGGAAGACATCAGAGGGAGTGTCTTCCTCATTCTCCTCTTGAAGATGTTAAGCAGAGGAAAGTATTAGACCTCAGACGATGGTAATGTTATATCAATTTTTCATTTTAAAATACTTCATATATTTGTTAATGATTTGTCCTAAAGAAGAGAGAATAGAATCAAAATTTTTAATTTCAGGTTTTTTGAATAAACATTTTGTTCATTTTTTCTTCTAAACTCTTAGACTTTAGATTTAGCCCCAAATATGCACAATCATATTTGAATAATACAGTTGTCCTTTGATATTTCTGGGGGGTTATTCAAGGACCCTCTGTGCCAAAATTCATAGATGGTCAAGTCCATATCTGAAGTGACATAGTATTAGCATGTAACCTATGTACATCCCCTGGTATATTTTAAAACATCCCTGTATTACTCATAAATGTATAGTTGCTATTGTTTGGGGAGTAATAACAAGGAAAAAAGTTTGTACATGTTTAGTATGGATGCAGTTTTTTTCCCAAATATTTTCAATGCACTGTTGATTGTATCACCATGGATGTGGAATGTGAGAATATGGAAAGTTGACTCTTAGCTGTGAGGCCATGGAGGCTTGGATAAAGAAAGCAATGGGAGGGATTCCCTGAGAGGGAAAATCACCACTACTACAAGCCTATTTCTTGCCGAGGTTAGTAAGATTAGAGTTGGAGTGAAAAGACCTAAAGATATAGTGTTAATAAAAATTATAACTTGATTATAAACAGAGGAAGTGTGAAATATTTTGAAAACTCCTTCGCTTCTCCTCTACCTCTTCTCCCTCTTTCTCCTCCTTTCTTTTCTCATTCTCCTTCTCCTTTTCCTCTTCCTCCTCCACTTTTTCTATGCCCTCCCCTCTTTGTTTCTCCTTCTACTCCTTCCTCTTCCCCTTCCTCCTCTTTATTGCTTTAAGGCAGACTTAGTGTTATAAGAAAGAATGCACACAAGCATGGAATAGTTTCTTTGTAAATATACATAAAGATAATTTTTTTTACTGTTTTGTTTTAAATTAATTAATTTTTTAATTTAGTTGCATGGATTTCATAAATACAACCTTAGGAACAAAGTAATTCTTCCCACTCTACCCGCCCTCCCATCCACACTCCCACCCACACTCCCTCCTCTCTTCTTCTTCCCTCTCCTGATCTCAGTCTTGTTTTCCACTAAGATCTATTTTCAATTAACATTTTTTAAAAGATCTGTTTATTTATTTGAAAGGCATAGGTACAGAGAAGCAGAGGCAAAGAGAGAGAGAGAAAGGTCTTCTACCCACTAGTTCACTCCCCAGATGGCTGCAATAGCCAGAACTGAGCTGATCCGAAGCTAGGAGCCAGAAGCTTCTTCCAGGTCTCCCATGTGGGTTCAGGGCCCAAGCACCTGGGCCATCTTCTGTTGCTTTTCCAGGCCACAGCAGAGAGCTGGATCAGAAGTAGAGCAGCCAGGACTCAAACCAGCACCCATATGGGATGCCAGAACTGCAGGTGGTGGCTTTACCCAGTACACTGTAGTGCCGGCCCCTCATTTAACTTTATACACAGAAGATTAACTCTATTCTAGGTAAAGAGTTCAGCACTTTATGTGAGGAAGAAAAAGAAAAAGAGAAAGAAATAAAACAAAATTAAATAAAACAAAAGACCTAAAAACAAAAAACGTAGCAAGGACAAAGAAGACTGTTCCTCAGCACTCCAGACAAGGACTCTGCATCACTGCATAGTATTGGGCTTGTAAAGTAACTCCCAAGGTTGCACTGTGGTAAAAATTTTCACAGCAGAAGAAAAATCAGTGAACGCATGAGGTCCCTGTGCTCCATTAGGCTGTGAACACCACAGGGAGAAGCAGTGGGTTTTTGTGGAGACTCAGTTTTGCAGAGCAGAAATGCAGGAGGGTGGCAGGAGTCACTGACCACCACTCATTTTCTGTCATCTGACTTCCAGCTGAGGACACTGCCTTTCGTGGTTGGTGGGCAGGGTGGTGATTGCAGTGGTGGGAGGGACGCCGGCTACCTGTAGTTTAAAAATTCAGGACACTATTTAACTCTCGAATGTCAAAACTAGGGGAGGACTCAAATTGACACCAACCTTCCTCACACTGTTTTAGAAAGATGAAGAGGAGGTACATTAATTTTAATTATTTTTATAGGGCCAATATTACCCTGATGCTAAAGACATGAAAAAAAAATCCCCTAAGAAGTGAAAAAATACAGACCAATATTCCTGATTAATATTGTTGGCAAAAATCCTCAACAAAACACTAGCAAACCAAGTCATAGCATATTAGAACATTATACACCCTGATAAAATTAGACTTTTTTCCTGAAATGCAAGGATGGTTCAACATATAAAAATCAGTGTAGTACACTACATTAATGGAATTAGAGGCAAAACCATGTGCTCATTTCAAGTGATACAGGAAAAACATTTGACAAAATTCAGCAGCTTTCATGACAAAAAAGTCTAAACACTAGGAATGGAAGGGAGTCTTTTTAACATAATAAAGATTGTACATGAAAAGGCCATGGGTAATGAACATATACTCAGTGTGAAAAATTGAAAAGTCTTGCTCTAAGATTAGGAACATTGCTAGGATGCCTCCCTTGTTAGTTCTTTGTAACATGCTGCTAGAAATCCTAGTTAGAGCAGTTAGGCAAGAAAAGAAAGAATTTAAAAATATCATGAAATTAATTTGATCATATATATATTTTATGTGTATATATAACAGCTCAAAGATTCCAGATAAACCTGTTAGAACTAATAAAGAAATTCAGCAACATTGCAGTATACAAAATCAGCACATAAAAATCAGTTGAATGTCTGTACTTGAACAATGAGCAGCCCCTCAAAGAAAATTAAGAAAATAATGCTATTTATAATGGCATCAAAAAGAATAAAATACCTAGGAATAAACTTAAAGGAGAATTGTACACTGTAAACTACAAAATATTGCTAAAGTAAACTAGACACATAGATTAATAGAAGGATATCCTATATTCGTGGATGGAAGACCGAATTTTTTTTTTTTTTTTTTTTTTTGACAGAGTGGACAGTGAGAGAGAGAGACAGAGAGAAAGGTCTTCCTTTGCCGTTGGTTCACCCTCCAATGGCCGGCGCGGCCGGCGCACTGCGACCGGCGCACCGCGCTGATCCGATGGCAGGAGCCAGGAGCCAGGTGCTTTTCCTGGTCTCCCATGGGGTGCAGGGCCCAAGCACCTGGGCCATCCTCCACTGCACTCCCTGGCCACAGCAGAGGGCTGGCCTGGAAGAGGGGCAACCAGGACAGAATCTAGCGCCCCGACCGGGACTAGAACCCGGTGTGCTGGCGCCGCTAGGTGGAGGATTAGCCTAGTGAGCCGCAGCGCCGGCTGACCGAATGTTAAAATGTTGTTAATTGTATTGGAGACAATCTACATATTCAGTGTAATCCCTATAAAAATCCCAAGGGCACATTTTTTGGTAATAAGAAACAACATAAAATTCATATGGAATAAAAAAAATGCTTTGTAACATTGGGTTTGGATTTGACACCAGAAACATAACAAAAGTAGACAAACTGGGCAGCATCAAATTTTAAAAACTTTTATGCATTAAATGGCACAATCAATAGACTGAAAGGACAATCACAGAATGAGAGGTAATACTTATAAATTGTATATATTATAAAGGGTTAATATCCAGAATATATAGGTAACTGCAACAACTCTACGACAAATAAACAAATTTTCCCAATTAAAAAATTGGCAAAGAACTTGAAAAGACCATTCTCCAAAGACGATATATATACAGATGGCTAACAAGCAAATGAAAAATGCCCAACATGACTAATAATTAGAGAACTGAAAATCAAAACCACAATGAAATATGATTTCACTCCCATAAGGATAGGTACTATCAGAAAAACAGAAACCAGTTTTGGTGGTGTTCCTTGATTTGTAGCTTTAACAAGAGTCCTGTTGCTAGGCCTCTGTCAGAACCATGTTTACCAACTGCTATGACAATGGTTTTAGTGTTTGTAGTAGTCAGGGCAGGAGTGATCATGTTGAGCATGCACTGGAAGCTAATGTTAAGTAAGATTTAGCTGCAGTTCACTTGAAATTGAAAATCCACACTGTGTTCATTAGACTAATGAAGGTGCAGTCAGCGCTCACAGCTTATCAGAAAAAAGATCCTCAGTGCTGATAACTGTATTGATACCACAGTTTGGGGCTTACCACTGATGCTGACTGCTGTGTAATTTTATGCACCAGTGATGTTTAGATTCCAGATTTGTGTTTGACAGATGACTTCCTGTGTCTCATCTTCCGTCTCTAATGGGAGGTAAGACCTAGCTACTAATACAAAGATGGCTGTAGACCATATGGTGTCCCGCTGCTTATTGCCCTCACATTCATCACACCTGTCCATTTCCTAACAATTTTGACTCAGAGCTGTGTTCCTTGGAGCCCCTTAATCGGCTAATGCATCAGAAAGACAAATGTCTGAATTTTTGGAGCACAGTTTAAGTGAACTGGTCAAATATGCTTTGTAATCATTAACACAGACACTTCTTGCAGAGCATGACCCAACTGCAGAGGTTTCCACTGAGATTCTTGGTAAGGACTTGGAGGTTTTTTTTGTTTTGTTTTGTTTTTTGTTTTTTTTATTTGACAGAGTTATAGACAGTGAGAGAGAGAGACAGAGACAGAGATAAAGGTCTTCCTTCCGTTGGTTCACTCCCCTAATGGCCGCCACATCCAGCACTGTGGGGATCCGAAGCCAGGAGCCAGGTGCTTCCTCCTGGTCTCCCATGGGGTGCAGGGCCCAAGGACCTGGGCCATCCTCCACTGCCCTCCCGGGCCACAGCAGAGAGCTGGACTGGAAGAGGAGCAACCGAGACTAGAACCCGGCGCCCATATGGGATGCTGGTGCCGTAGGTGGAGGATTAACCAAGTGAGCCACGGTGCCGGCCCCAGGACTTGGAGTTTGCAGTGTGTGATAATGATGGATTCGATTATGATGATGATGATATTAAGTGGGTCATCTCCAGTCCTAGAAGGTGTTGAGGAAAGACCACAGAAAAACTCACCACTTAG